ACACGGCTTCTTGGCGAGTTCCACGACGCTCCCGCCACCGGACATTTTGGAGTCAATCGCACGATTGGCCGACTTCGCCAGCGATTTTGGTGGCCGGGCCTTCTCGACAACATCATGCGCTATTGCGAGTCATGCGAGGTTTGCCGACGCTGCAAATCCCGCAACCATCGTCCGTACGGCGAGCTACGACCATTGCCAGTCCCGTTGAGGCGAAGGGAAGCGATTGCCATGGACATCACCGGCCCGTTCCCCAAGCACAAGACCGGAGTGGATGGGATTCTCACGGTGGTCGACCGACTCACCAAGTTCGCCATGTTTTTACCTTGTCGCTATCATGCTAAGGCACCGGAGTTGGCCGAGGTTTTGTACGCCGGTTGGATTCGCACCAAGGGTCACCCCAAGGAGATCGTCTGCGACCGCGACACTTGGTTCATGTCCGATTTTTGGTTGGCGCTCATCAAGCGATAGGGCTCATCTCTCAAGCCCAGTTCAGCTCGCCGCCCTCAGACCGATGGCTAGACGGAGAGGGCGCATCAGACCGCACAGGTTCTCCTTCGCACTCTCATCCGCCCCGACCAGAAAGACTGGGTTGAGCGACTGTCGGACGTTGAGTTGGCCTACAACTCTTCCATCCACCCGGCTATTGGGATATCGCCCTTCGAGTTCGAGCACGGCTCGCTGGTCACGTCACCGTTGGACACGATTACTCCACGCACGACCGAGAGCGACGACCATCTTCTTTTCTTGCGTCGGATGCAAGAGCTTCTTGTCAAGGCACACGACCAGATGGCTAAGACGCAACAGCGCATGCGCCAACAGGCAAATCGCCAGCGTCTTCCTTGTCCATTCCGCGCCGGAGACCTCGTCTGGGTTTCAGCAGTGGAATTCAGCCTTGAACAAGACGTCTCTCGCAAGCTCCTCCCGAAATGGATGGGGCCTTGGCCGATCATAGAGCCCGCTGGGGACGCACCCGAAGAACCCTCCGTCACGATTCAGGTGTCTAGCCACTTGCCTGTCTACCCAGTCTTTCATTGCTCCAAACTGGCTCTCTACACGCCAGCGGATCATGACGACTTTCCCGGGAGACGGACGCAAGACCCACCTTCTATGGATGGTTTTCAGGAGGTCGGCGACATCATCTCCCAGCGACGCTTTGGCAACAAGCCAACTGAGTATTTGGTGCATTTTGCCTACTGCACACATCGAGCTGACCGTTGGTTAACCCGTGCGGAACTGCAAGCGACAGCTCCAGACGTTCTCGCACGCTACGAATGCAAGATGCAAGGCAAGTCGGTTTCTTCGGCTCCACGCTGCGCCCGCGTCCAGGTTCCACCTTCAGATCGACGGCGTCGCCCTCACCCCGACTTGACTTCATAAGGAGGGGGGGGTGTTACACGCAGCGCGTGCACACACAAGCCATTTTGCAGGCCCGACGGCCATTTTGCAGGCCCGACAGCGTTCAGGCCAAAAGCCTGAACTTCAGGCCGAAAGCCTGAATTTCAGGCTGAAAGCCTGAAATCCAGGGCTTACAGGCCCCCTGTCGGTTCATGCCAAAAGCCTGAAGTCCAGGGCCTATCCCTAGTCGTTTCAGACTAAAAATGGCAACAGCCTTTTTAGCCTGAAACGAAGGGTCATTTTCGGTCGTTCATCAGAACGACCGGCCCTGAAACTCAGGCACCGAACCAGGGTTTCGGAAACAGACTATTATTAGTCTGTTTCCCATGCCAGCCTCAAGCAGGCTGATGCACGCCAGCCCCTGACACATTTCGGCATTGGCAAGAGCTGCCTCCTCGGCCTGACTACCCTCCAGTAGTCAGGAGGCAGGCCGAGGTAGTACATAGGACTTCCCAGGCACTTCCGGAGTAGGCAGTTCGGCAGTTGTAGCCTTCAGGATTTGGGAGCAGCACTCTGGAGGGAGCGCTGCAGTGTAGAGTAGTAGCGTTAGCTTGTAGTCTTCAGCGCTGGGCGCAATAGGTAGCTGTAGTCTCCAGCGCTGGACGCCATAGCTAGTTAGTACTAGAGAGAGAGAGAGAGAGCTTGGGCGGAGGCCAAAGGCACCTACCTGCAGCGCCGTTGCTCCAACTTCGACTTCGAGGTACTTGCAGCACATCGCCAACATCACAGGTTAGTACTTGGTTCGCAACAGAGAGAGAGAGAGAGTTCTTCTTCTTCTCCTTCTCA